TGCGATCGAATTGTTCCCAGATCGCATCATAACAAACGGCTAGTGTTGATGAAAATCCTGATGATTTCAAAATTAATCTGTTAATGTGAGATTCAGAACAAAAAATTGAAAATTCCTGCGAAGTTCATCTTATGCATACAGTTTGGATTTGCATATGATCTCTGAATGACGGACATGCAATGCAAAAACAAACGATTCAATTCGTTTATCTTTACTGTAGTTGTCATTGAGAGATTAATAAAGGTACGGAAATATCGGCAAATTCAGCTGAAGTGTTTGTTCAGCAGCATTGATACTGCAATGTGACGACTGGCTTGATTGGTTGGTTTCCATATCAATTTCTTCGCTGAAGAATCTTATGATGGCATTTTGTTCGCTGACAGTGATCATTCGAATGCGGTTGTTATGCATGATGCTTTCATTAGTACTTGTGAGTTTCGCAGCGAATTAATTTTATACGAGTCTGATCGAACAGATTATCTCTTGATAATCCTCGCTTTCTAGTTCCTTCAGTGTAAACAGAAATCCCTGGTAACTTGACGATGAAGCCACCGATGTTTCTCCTTATTCGAGAAATATACATTTTCCGCGACAGTTTTTTTGCAGATAATATTCCCCTGTTGAGTGAATGCACCGAAAAGACACTTTCTCTGGATATGTTAATAGTTACTGCTTGGCATGTTACCTCTAATTTTTACTTTTGAAAAGCTGAGTTCATGATGATCGAATGTAGTTTTGAACTTGCTTCTGTGATAAATTGATTTGAATCGTTATTCTATTCTGATTCATCTATTTGTTTATTTATTCGTAACTGAGTATAATCGCTTCTGCGGTGAATAACGTTAATAATGTACTCATTGAAACATCTAAAATTGATTGGTAGAGCTCATAAAAAGTCCTCGATTCTTTCCCAATGCTGTTTCTAGCGAGTTTTCAACCGTGCCTACAAATTTCCACTGTTGTTCAGCTGCTATTAAGGGTTTTTCGTGCTAATCGAAAGCGCGAATCATTCTCCCATAACTTTGACAATTTGATTCCAGTTGAAAAAAAGCAGAAATCTAATTTCGAACCTATGCATTGCCTGCGAGAAGCCATAAATTGCCTATATGAACGTCACAGAGATGAGGCGTTTCGAAATGAGTGGAATGAATCGTCGAAGAGTGACTTCATGAGGGTTTTCAGTTTCATTAGAAGAAGACAACCTTTCAGAAACGCCAGATTGAGAATGTCTGATGGTGGTATACGCAAGGCGAGTGCTGCAAGTTCGATGGCGACCTTCGACGATGACGATCCTGAATATGAATGCTGCTGTGGTACGATGCATGTACGAGTGAGTGCCTGCAATTCAACTTAAAC